GAACTTGTTCTCCTTGTATAAAATGTTGCAGGCATCAAAAGTGGTGTAGCTTACAATATTGTAATGCCACACTGTGACACTTAATGCAGTATGTTCCTGAGACACATCTGAGTGCAAAAGACAACAGAGACTATTTTGTCATTGCTGATCATTAGGTTGGAACATTCAAGGATTAATGTGAGGCCCACTGACTCTATGAATGTATAAAGTTGTGTTCCTGTCCAGTCCCAGAAGAAGGCCGTACACCAGCATTCAACACCATCCATGCTCAAACATGACACTGGTTAAAGTGACATTTTGATGAGGGTTTGTGCTTTGGATTGAAATATATGTATCCTACATGGATCTATATGATATATAAGGTCTCTGTATGACAAAACCAGTTCTTCTTGTGGAGTGTGTACTTTTCAGTGGTACAGCTCTAAGTCTTTGGGCAGTATGGGTCGACCTGTCCATTTGCAGTACAAGTGTACTGTCCCCATGTATGTTCAATAAAATACTGTTCTAAAATTACCCATCCTCCTTGTTGTGGACAAAAACTCAAGAAATAAATACACTCACGGGGCACTTTATTAGGTACACCTGTACAATTGTATGCAATTCAATGCAACACTTCCACCTTAAAATTTGTGTTTATGAAGCTCAAAATGTTTCAGTTTTTGGTGAAATTTCATAAATGTGTAAATTCAATTATGTGTTTATTATTGAGGTCATAGTTAAAAGTGGTCTTGTACTGGACTACATTATATTTAGAGGTGTTTCTATGTTTTGGTCCCCCCCAGCTACATGGATGAGAGGGTCAGAATATTAGGAACAACATGAGCTTTATAAACACAGATGTTAAGGCACAAGTGTTACATTGAAGTGCACACAGTTGTACATGTGTACCTAATAAAGTGCCCTGTGTAGATTTAACATGAAACATCTTTAAAGATTATTAAAGAGTTTTTAAAAAAAAAAGGATTAATGGTCATGTAAAAATAACAAAACTCCTATAATTCAGAGTTTAGTCTTTGTACACTCCTTTGTATTTTGGTACAGTAGTTTTGTGGATGATGGATTCACTTTTATTTCTTTGGTTTTCTACAAACCATTGCTAACTTGTCATGAAACACAAACAGTATTTCTTGTTCACTTGTGTCTGGACCCACAGTTTGAGTAGAGGTGTCATCAGCTCCAGTCATCAGACTGATGTGGTATAAGCACACAGTTGTTACTGGACCTCATTTAGCTTGAATTTCAGTGTTAGCAGTATCATTATGGATTGAAGCTTCAACATCCAAATAATCATATTGAACTTACACAAGATTTTTCATTTTGACAGAACAAAGTTAGAAATACATTAGCTAGCGTGAGCTTGTGGGAGGTGTTAGCTTAGAGGTTAGAAGAAAGCCATCGCCACTGCAGAGGTGCTTCTGAGCAAGTCACTTAATCCCCAACTGTTCAGTGGCCAGGAAATCAGAGTGTGGTTGAAGTGAGCAGCTTCCAGGTGTGTATGTGTGAACCAGGGCACTGACAAAGAATTACATCAGTTTTAATCTTTTGCATCATTATTTGTAAGACACAACTTTGACACCAGTATAACACTGAAGTGTTTTTTAGCAGCAAGAATTTAGGTATATAAAATAATCGTTAACAACTATAAAGGGCCGTTCAAGACAGTTCAAACTGTTCTACCAAAAGAATGATAGTCGCGCACAGTTATTTGTTTCTCACTAAACGCAGCCTCTTGATGTTTGAGCTCTATTAGGCTGTTAGCACAATTATTTTGGACACGTGCCAAACAAAGCTGCTCTCTGCTCTTTGTCTTCTTGTTACGGGTGCCCTGGCTCTCTGTGAGGCCAGTGTTGACAGCTCACTGCATTTACTGGATTATTGTATGTGAGGGATTTGAAACTAGGATCAAGTCACTGGGCTGTGGAGAGCATGGAGGTTGCATGAGCTTTTACATCACAGGGATGTGTGAGGGTGTGCATGTGTGCTTGTTTGGGAATGTGTTTGTGCACCAGAGGCCACGTCGTACAGCTTGTCTCCACTTGGCTCCACTGTCTTTGGTACGGACCTTTAAACATGAACCTGTTCTGCTTCACAATGGTAAGATACATCATCTTCTGAACCCCAGAATTTAGGTTTGTCTGTTGGGAGCAATTGTTTAGTCCCTGCAGCCTCAGAAGCAGAGGAAGCGCCGTGTGGCATTGCAGGAGACGCTGGTGATGATATTGTTGTTGACAAGGATCTGAATTGGGCTCTCCTGGGAATGTACAGTAACAAAGCTGCACCTCACTTTTCTTCTAAGATTCATTATGTTCCTTAGATGCTGTCTTGATGCTGTGCTTGTATTTGTTGCATTGTGTTGACTACTATATCTTCATATTAGTGTAATTAATTATATGATGATCCTTTTACCCTGACTAATTATTCATAAATACCTATGTAAGTAGCCACTAATGTAACTTTGTTACTGTAATTACTATAATTATTATAATTGCAGTTAAATTTAGTTGAAATCTTGGCTTGAAGTTGTCACTGATCAGTGCATTTGCTTGGTCTCCTCATGACAAAACTCAATAGTTCATTAAGTTTTTTTTTTTGCAAGAAAATCAATCATAAGTGGCTGCAATTTATTTCAGATATAATGGTTTGTTGCTGAACGTTTTTCTAACAGTCAGTCTGGATGTTTAGTGAAAATTTATAGTGGACACTGTTAATACCACATTCACACCTACACTCAGTCCCAGATTTGGGGTGTCACTCTCCTGTAAAATTTTAAATTTGTCACATTGTAAAATGTCATCACCCTTATGAACTCAAAGCCACAATAATGTGATCAAATCAGATCTAGCTTAGTGGTTAACTACTCATTCCATTAGTAATTGGTAATTTAATATACAAGAATAAAGACTGAAAAAACAGCTGTGAACCCAATACATGCAACTTGAAAGAAATATCCAAGGTTTGCGCACACAACATGTCATGATCTGTGTCACAGTCTTTTCCTGGTGAATGGACTTCTTAGTCATCAGTCCTGTTCTGTCCATAACAAACAGTGGCTGTTGCGATGAGGCCACATGTCATGGGGACTAAGTCACAACAGGATGAGCAGTTTGTAACATCAGCATGAGTTAAAAGCTGTGCCAGGATTTCAGCACCCAGCCCACCAACCAAACCTTTCAAATATCATAACAATTAAACATTTTGGTTTGACAACTATGATGTAATCTAAGAATGTCATTAACTTCCTACTACATTGCTGTTTGTAGAATGCTGGGTAAATTTCTCAAATGGACATTTGACACACCCATAAACAAGGTGGAGATATTACAAATGTAAAGTTTATCTTTTGTTTGCTATTTTATGAGTTTGTTTGTTTTATTACAAAGCTTGATTCTTATACATTTCCAGGGACTTGGAGTTGAGTTTGAACATTTTTCTATGTGTTACCTATAGTACTCCTCACACAGAACCTGATCCAGCGTTTTCCTTTCACACGACTGATATTTTGACTACATCAGTGTGTTCATGACTGACACTGCCCTCAAACTGTGAAAATTAAGCACAAAACAGTACATCAAAATGTGATGTATTTATAAATGTTTGGATTCACTTTACATCTAGAACCATTACACCATTGTGCAGCTGATTCCAAGACATATTTGACTGCCCCTGATGTGAGGTTTTCCACTGATTTTGTATTGTGTAGTGGCACTGGTGATTGATTCCAGACAGTTCCTCCTTGATGAGCTTTAACAACTGGATATATTTAGCTTCAAAGTCTGAACAAAGAAAATCAATACACTGTAGTATTTGGTGTATATACACTAGGCTGCTGTCACTACACTACAAATTCATGACTGTTTTTTTTTTTTTTTCCAGGAGGGCTCCAGAAAAAGCATATATGAACCTGTCTACAGTAAAACACTCCAGGAAGTCCTACCCAATACCAGTGTAGTCTTGCTTTTCTGAGGCATAAGCCTGAGTAGGGTAGCTCACAGTCATCCATCATCCAGGCTACCATTTGTATCAATTTTCACACTAAATTGATGTTGAAATCGTATTTCACTGCACAAGTAAAAGCTTGACCTGTTGGTGGTGCTAAATGAGAAGTGACTGGATCACCAAAGTCATTAGAATTAATCATCTTGGCTTTCCGGATATCACCTCTCCTCCTGCCACTGCTGCCCTGCCTCCTTCTGAGCACCCCTCAGCTGATTATTTGGTAGATGGTATTTGTTGAGCTGTACTTCAGCTTTTGTCAGTGTGGCCTTCAGTCTTTCAGTTTCACCCTCAGTGGTGGCTGTCAATTGCTGATACCCTAGTTTGCCTTCCGTGGATCTATCACAGAAAGGCGATGAAGGTTCCCGTATTTTACCCTGTTGGACCTTAGTCTTTTTTGTGCCCCTTCTGTTTGTTTCTTAGTGCTCTGTGTACACCCCATAGCGAAACCAAACTTGCCAAGGTTATACAGTAGACAACTGAAATCCTTGACTTCTCAAGTCTGATGACTTCTCAAAGTCAAATTGCAGCTTCTCTGTGTGTGACTGTCATTCTTAATGCCAGGCTGTGTAACTCAGTGGAAGGTAAAGTTCTCTGGGATGTCATCGGTTTAGCTCCTCTGATGGGTATTCCAGTTCTATGGCTTCTTTGATGTAATGGTTGCCACACACACTCAAACACAGTGCATCCTTCATGATCATTTAAATAGTTTTTTTGTGGCTGTGTTTTCTTTCTTCTTTTATTCGGAATCAACTTTTCCTCCATTAGGAGAATTAAGGCATTTGTCATTTCTATTTGTCATTTTAGGCCATGTGCACCATCATCTTTAGCTTTGGACAATGAAACATTAGATTGGTTGGTTTTTAGTCACTGATGTTAAAATTTCACATTTTATTGTTATACAGAGTGTTATAGGCAAAACCCATTTCAGGCTCACAGTGATCATCTTGATCTTATATTGCAGTACTTGTTGAATTTTTCTGTGTACAACTACAATGTGACAGCTTGCCAACCTGCTTCTCCTTCTACTCCATGTCTGTTACAGAAAAAAAAAACATTAATCTTGCCTGCTGGATGTCATCTGGTGACAAGGACTTATCTCATCAAAAGAAAGTCAAGAACAGAGGTAAAGAAATATGTCTACATAAGCAAATCCAAAGTACTTCTACTAGGTAGCCCTAGGAAAGCATAATCCTCAGAGGTTAGCAGTTACACTGTTGGTGTGGCCTCTTCAGATAATTTCTGAGACTATGACAGTATAGACAGGCACAAAATAATGAAGGAAGTTGGCGTTATTTCCTTTATGTGTAGGACAAATGAAAAGTCACAATCATTGATTTGTGTGACAGTATATTCTTTAAGGAGAAGATAAAGCACTGTCTGGCACATGATAACTGATCCTACAGACGTGCAAATCTCCTTGTCAGAGCAGCACGCTGGCACAAGGTGACAGGGTGGAGGAGCTGAACTCTGAAAGGGCACAGACAGAGCTACCAGCTCAGGTAAAACATGACTGTCACCTTACAGCACATTTCACCATCCAGTAAGGCCACTATATGGTCAGTATAAAAAGTGTCCATGAAATTTGTATCAGGGAGGTTGCAGAAGGTAAAAAAGTGAGTGTGAACTAAACTTGAGAGAGGTCAACAGTATGCTAAACAAATCATATCCACTGTTCACTTTACTTTGCTTTGTAATCTTCACTCTGCCTTACAAGGCCATTTTATATTTACCCAGTGTTCTTTAGGCCACCTGAATGTTATACTCTTTGATGCTTTTCATGCCAACAAGAGGACAACAGTCTCTCTCTCTCTCCATCATTCTTAGCTCTCTTGTCAGCACAAAAGTTGCCCGTGTCTTTTTTAAAGCAGTCATATAGGGGCCATCCATCCATTATCAGTCACTTATTTTTAGTCAGCTGGACCACAGGGGCAACAGGCTTACTAGCACAGTCCAGACATCTGTTTTTCCAGTAATTTTCTCTAATCTAGCCCCTCCTGGGGGATCCTGAGGCACTCCCAGGATAGATGAATAGTATAATCATTCCAGTGTGTTCTGGATCTATCGTGGTACCTCCTACCAGTTGGACGTGCCTGGAAAGCCTACAATGGAAGGTGCCTAGGAAGCATCCTACCACCTCAGCTGGTTCCTTTTAATGAGAAGGAGCAGTGACCCTACTTCAAGCTCCCTGGATGTCTGAACTTGCCACCCTACCTCTAATGCCATGTATACACGAACTGTTATCATCTGCTTTTTTGAGAGCAGAAACTCATTCCTAAAGGGAGCAGCCCATTATTTTCCAGCAGAGAACCATGGCCTCAGATTTGGAGGTGCTGATTCTCATCCCAAATGCTTCACACTAGTCTCCAAACTGACCCAATGCATGTTGGAAGTTCTGGTCTGATGAAGCCAACAAAACCATATCAAATCAAATCAAATCAAATTTTATTTGTATAGCGCCAAATCACAACAAAAGTCATCTCAGGACACTTTACAAAGTAAGGTCTAGACCTTACTATTATCAATATTATTACATAGGGAAAACCCAACAAATCCCCCTTGAGCAAGCACTTGGCGACAGTGGGGAGGAAAAACTCCCTTTAACGGAAGAAACCTCCGACAGACCCTGGCTCTTGGTGGGCGGCCTTCTGCCTCGACCGGTTGGGGTGAGTGGATAGAGGAGAGACAAAAGAAGAAAAGCAACAAGGCACAACAATCAAACACTGATCAGGTCAATGTGGCTGGTGACTGCTCATCAGAGATGTAGAGCTCCAGGGCCAGGGCAACCTGCAGAAAGGTACAGGGAGAGAGAGAGGACACACTACAGGAGAGAGGAGACACAAAGTTAGTAATGTGTAATGGAGGCATATAGAAGCATAGGGAGAGAGAGGAGAGGAGAGCAGAGCAGGAGGGGAGGGGAAAGAAACTCAGAGCATCATGGGCCCCCCAGCAGCCTAGGCCTATAGCAGCATAACTAAGGGAAGGCTCAGGGTCACCTGATCCAGCCCTAACTATAAGCTTTATCAAAAAGGAACGTCTTAAGTCTAATCTTAAAGGTAGAGAGGGTGTCCACCTCC